GACACTGCGCCTCCGTCCTAATGATGTCCACCGGCCTAATTGAATATTGACGTTCTGCGCGCGAGGGCTAAATAGCTTCTGTCTGCTTTACCTCCGCCTGCTGCAGCGTTTTAACCCGCCTGCTCTGATGATCGTTAATGCGCCTGTTACCAAGGTTACGAGCTTTTTGTCCGTTTGACGCAGCTTTACTTTTTTTTAAGTGCTGTTGTAGATGTTTAATTAAAGAAGGCATTTTGTTGCATTAAAGTGACAGCTGAAGTCTGCTCCTTCTTTCTTTGTTTGCTGCTTCCATTTCAGTGATGAGCGTCATCCATGGGCGGTTGTAGATGGGGGCTGTCACGGGCCCATGGCCGCTCTTATTGCCTCTGATTCATGAGATAATGTAAAATCTATTTATTTTTTATTATCATGATATAAACAAATTAAATACAACTATTAAGAAACAAAACAAAATGTGTGAAAAGAGTGGAAAAAATACATTTTACAGAAACAATTTTTAGTTTCAGATTTTGTCCTGTTTTTTTTTTTTTGTTTGTTTTCCCCCTCTTTAATTTCAGACATTTTTTTCTCTGTTTCAAACATCTGCGGCTGTTAGGTACAAGTCGAACCGAAAAGAAAATGTCAACACATGAGACACAAAAATGTGACACTGACAAATTTGTGCAACATTTTTAGTCCTTTTTGTTATATATATTTTTCTTAAGCCAATCACACACATATAGAATATCAATATGTTTTTCATTTTCAAACTTTGACATCAATGTAGCGCCATAGTTCTGCAACATTCAGCTTTGGAGCTGAAAGTAGCTCCTTGTCTGACTTCTCTCCCTCTACTGGTCCCATGCCTCTCTACTGGTCCCATGCCTCTCTACTGGTCCCATCCCCCTCTACTGGTCCCATCCCCGCCTCTACTGGTCCCATCCCTCTCTACTGGTCCCATCTCCCTCTACTGGTCCCATCCCTCTCTACTGGTCCCATCCCTCTCTACTGGTCCCATGCCTCTCTACTGGTCCCATGCCTCTCTACTGGTCCCATCCCTCTCTACTGGTCCCATCCCCCTCTACTGGTCCCCAGTAGAGAGGGACCAGTGTAGTACAGTGTAATCCAAGCTGCATCCCAGCCACACAGGAAACAATCTCCCGTTTCTGTGTCCAGGATGCCATTAATCTGGGCGCAGGTTAACAAATGCGCTTGCATGGAAGGTGTATTTCATCTGCAGGCAGCCAATAACGGGACCGTTGTGTTGTTGGTCGGGGAGTAGCTCCACTTCCAACACGTTTTTACTCACATTAAAATAAAAACTGCCCAAAAAGTTACTCAACCAAATTAAATAACAAAAAACACAATGTAACTAATATTTACAGACAATAATTCAGATATACTGGGTCAGGTACTTCCAAAAGGCTCAGCAGGTAGAAAGTAAGAGAAAAACAAAGTTTGCTCACAAACAAGAAGTCTTTCTTTGTCTTAAGCTGTAGATGCGTCTGCATCTTATGTTTTTGTTTTTCTTCTGTCAGTGAATTTTCTTGCACAAACGTAGAACAAATGTTTAAACCCAGTTCTGTTTGATTCGGGTGATGTGGTGGGACCTCTGACCTCAACCTCTTATTAATAAGAGCACAAGTGAAAATGTCAACAAAACAAACATGATGCAGTTAATTTACACCAATTTGTTTGATCCCATAAATGTAGGAGGGGCTTTTTGACCTTTGACCTTCAGAAACATTTATTAATATCTTAAGAATGATGGCAACACAAACACCATTTTGTTTGATCTGAAGGAGGTGTGTGTTGATCTCTGTCCCAGTGCTCACAGGGGTAAAGGATCCAGAAATTGTTCTCATCCAAGAGGACTGAAAATTACGGAAAAAGATGAGGGGCTTTGAAAATTAAAAAAAGATGATCTTTCTCAGAATCCTGACTTTATCAGTTTTGTTTCTTACCATCAGAATTGTGATTTTAATCCCAGAAATCTGACTTGATTTATTTTCTCCTTTTCAGTGACCCTAATCTTCTTCTGTAGAAACTTAAAAAATTTTACTCAAGTAAAAATAAAAATTACAGTGTAGTAAAACAATTATTTTTCCAGTTAGTTACTCAGAAAAATGTAACTTGGATTCCCATATAAAAGCGTCTCTGTAGCAGAAGTCTGTACGTGTTTATTTAACTTCTGCTTCAACAAATAGTGATTTATTCATTTTGTCAGGAATGGAAGTGGGTTGAGGATGTTTTATTTTTTAAAAACCAGAGCCAGATTCTTAACTGTGCTGGTTCTTCCTACCTGACCGGGTCCAGTTCCTCCACGGCAGCGGTGCGTTTTCATCTGAAAAGCGGCGATGCCTCTCAGTAATCCATTAGGCTTCCATTAGCTCTGATTTGTGTGATTAGTTTTAATTAATCAGTTCGCTCCGTGACCTGCCCCCCCTCCTGCCTTCTCCTCACATTTCATTTCTACCCTCATTCCTCAGCTCTCCACCGACCAGCAGAACGAGGCGAGCGAATCCGTGACGAAGCTCGCCGAACGAACCGGGTTGTTTTTGTGCTTTGTGTGGTTCTGAACCAGAAGGGATTGTGATCTCATGTTTTACACATCCCGCTCCCCTGGAACAGTTGGTATCGATTAGAGCCGCGGTGTCCATCCTTCACCCTGATTTCCCCCCGGTCAGGCGCCACCCGCCATCTTTGCTGCACATCTCACATTCAAACGAAGGTTTTTATGCTTCGTTTGAAGTAGCAGGTCTGATTACCTGCTGAGGTATCAGGATGATGATCTGTCTTCCTTTCCTCCCTTCTCAGGACTCTTTCTACTATTGAGATAAATGAAAGATCAATTTATCCACCAGGCTTCGCTCCATTTCTCCTTCTCTGCTTTGGTTTTATTGGATCTGCTTCTGTCTAACTGGGGCTGTTGCAACAATTACTAATCAAATCGATTAGCCTGACTATATAATATTCTATATGTAATCAGGAAAAAAATGTGGAAATTTCTGATTTTGGAGAGTTGAAAATTTGCTTAAAAAGTAGAAATGTTTAGATTAATCTTTCTAAAATGGTCAACTATAATATTTTCTCACTTTCAAAAGTTTAAAATTTTAGGTTGAAATTAATCTAAAAATTTCTGCGTATTTTTCTCGCAAATTTTCAACTTTTAGAGCTCAGAACTTTCTGAGTTTGTCTGGTAAATTTCTGAGTTCTGAAAGTCAAAATTGTGCAACAAAAACTTTGAAGAAAGAATTTGGAGTTTCAAAATTTTAGCATTTTTGACTTTTGGAATTCAATCAGAAATTTTCCACAAAAAAAAAAAAAAAAAAAAGAAAAGCATTTTTCGAAACCTGGAAATTATAAGATTAATCTCAGAATTTTTTTTTTCCAAAAATATATTTTTTAAACTTTCTAAAATAAAACAAAACTTTCAAAACTCAGAAATTTCCACTTTTTAATTGACCTCAAAATTCCTGAGCTTTTCCCACATTTTGACTTTGAATTTTCTTATTTCTAGAACATTTCTGAGACTAATTCCAGAATCTCTGGGTTTATTGGTTCACATTTTTGACTTTTTAAACTCAGAAATTTTCAAGTTCCGTCTAGAAAATTTCTGAGATTGATCACAAAATTTCTAAGTTTTTTGATGGAAAATTACTCTTTCTATCTGCAGTGGCTCTAATTCTTCATTGTCCAAACCATTTGGTGAATCTTTGCAGCCCTAAACGCGCCCCGTGCATGATTTGCTGTATTTCTTTATCTCTTGTAAACCCGTGAATCCGTCTGTCCTGCTGCGGCGGATCGAGGTTTTCTTTGTGTCTCCTGGGAAGACGCTGCCTGTCACCGTGGCGACGCAGCCTCCCATCCAGGCTGCTGGAGGCGGCCCAGCTGCTGTCACTCACCCTGCAGAGGGAGCAGCGGCTGACGCTGATGATAGAAATTCACCTTTTCTCTCCTACCAGGCCTCAGCAGATGCTTTTAGCTCCTACGATGAGTTAATCCTTGCTGTGAGTGCTGGAACGTAACCAGGACCTCGTTAGCTTGTTCTCTGGGTTAATTTGTTGTTGTTTTTTTTCTTACAGGTGATCTGTCATGCTTCACTGAACAGGTTATGATAGATCTATGGGCGATACAAAACATGATCATTTTTTGCACAAAATCATTTTTAGGTAATACAATTTTATGACACCTCAAATCAACATTTACACTTGCACTTGAAAATGGCTGCAAACAGATGCAGCCATTATAACCGTACATGTTCAAAAAGCAGAAGTGGAGCCTCCTGCACAACCAACAAGAATGCAGGGAGTGACATCTGAGTAGTGCGTGAACAACAAAACACTTGCCTTTTCCAGCAGCCATTGTACAGCGCATAGAGTGGTAAAACCAGTTGACCAAACGTGCTGGAACTCAGCTTAGGTTGCTAGGTAACGGCCTGGGTTCCCCTGGTGTTGCTAGGTAACAGGCAGCGCCTGCTGATTTGTGACGTTACATTTTGAAGGTTTTTGAATCGACTTCTTTTTCAGACACCAAAAACATGAGCTTATTGCCAAACTGGCTGAGTGTTTTGGCTTTTTTCTAACTGATTTCTGCATTTTTCTAGTTATTTTGACCTGAAAAACGCAGAAATTATCCAAACGTCATATCATCTTCACTTTGCAATACTTTTCTGCTTATTATGCAGCTTTACTCAGATGCAGTCAGTGTTTACTGTAAGAAAACACACATTTTCTTTCTTCAAGATAACCTAAAAAATGCAGAAAAACGATGCCACTGAGGGGATCTCGGGGCTGCAGATGTCGTCCCACCATGAAATAATGATTGATGATGAGAATTTGATGATCGTACAGAATGTCTGTTTGAAACTTCCTTTATACATCCATGTCAGTCAATACACCATAAACCGACGGGAAAAGTGTTAAAATCTGTCATGTTTATTGCTTCTGGAGCCGATTGTTGACTTTTGTCTTTGTGATGCTAATGCGGTGCGCTCGTCCCTCCCCCGTCTGTTTCTGCAGGACTCCATGGTTCAACGGCTGGGGGTTCAACCTGCCTCGGGGTCAGTCTCTGCTGGATAAATGGAACCTCGTCCCCGAGGGCGTCGACATCCTGATGACCCACGGACCGCCGCTTGGTGAGTCCAGTCAGCCAATCACAGCTCCCCTCATCGCCATTAATCAAACATTAATCAATAATCTGATGTGCTGATGTGATGTGATGGGCAAAATGTTATGTTTCAGTTGTTGACTGTGTTTCTATGACTTTGTATTTTTATGATGTAAAACACTTTGAAATGCCTCGTTACTGAAAGGTGCTACACAAATAAAATTTGATTAATTGATTGAACGTCTGGAGGAATAACAAGCTGGGCAATTAATCGATCAATCAACCTTATAGATTCATCAATATTTTTTAAGATTTAATTATAAGTAACTATTCAGAAAAAGGTAAATAATTCCTTAATATTGACGAGCATCCTTAATAAGACGGAGCGTCGGCTCTGCAGGCGGAGCGTCGGCTCTGCAGGCGGAGCGTCGGCTCTGCAGGCGGAGCGTCGGCTCTGCAGGCGGTGGCCTGTGGATTTGCTCCGTCGTTCAGTATTTGTGTTTCCCTGCATGGAAACGAAGTAATCTCAGACTTTTCTTGTGGTTTTCGCAGCAGATTGATTAGTGTTTCCTCCTGGCTGTTTGGGTCTCGGTTGTTTTTTTCCTCGTTTCTACTCTCCATCTGGCTTTATTGAGTGATTTCCTTCCCTTTCGCCCACGGAGGCTTTCTGCTGCTGCGACCGTTTGATTGCATGGAAACTCAATTTCTGCTGGAGAGGGAAGCAAACGGGTTCTGGAGCCGGTGAGGAGAGGTCTGGAATCATCTGGACCGGTTTAAACGTGTAGCTCCAAAGGCGCCATGTTGGCAGGATTTCACAGGGATCGCAGAGAAAAGCTGGTCTGACGGAAAAATCACTGAAAAAATAACATTTATAAACCGTTGGTTCAATTATACACTGTAAAAACACAAAATCTCACCACTTACTATTGGGCTAGTGTGAATATCTTACCATTCAAGGGTTAGGGTTTATTAATCCGTCTGTCCATCCATCACTGCTGTTATCTATCCGTCTTTCCAGTCATTCGGTCTTTTTATCATCTGTTGTTTTCTTCATGCTGTTATTCGTTCATGACGCCTGCGATAAATTCAAGCTAAAGCTTCGTTTTAAAAATGATTCAAATATGAAAAACTTTGATAAAATGTTATTAATACTTAATTCCTTATAAGTGGATGCCTGGATAATTGCAGGTTTTCTAAATTCACACATAATTTTCTCTGCAATGAAAAAAAATCTGGTTTCAAAGTTTAGAACTTTAAAAATAGAAAAATTAACTTTAATTAAACAATGCATGAAGGAAACCCTATAAATGCTTTGTTGTTTTGTTTCCTGGAGATTTGCAATATAGTTTATAACACAGTATAGTTTCAGACTGTTGTCTTTCAAAGGTATTGTTCAGAGTACTGACATGTTTTATATCTAAGAGATAAAAGTCAGTAAAACGGTGAAATGAATGTATTTTTCAGGTTTCAGAGACTGGGTACCTAAGGAGCTGCAGCGGGTCGGCTGCGTGGAGCTGCTCAACACGGTCCAGAAGAGAGTCCGGCCCAAACTTCACGCCTTTGGAGGCATTCATGAAGGTAAACAGACAATAAAGGTCTTGGTCAGCTGTAAAAGCACTGAAGTCACATAAAGCTGAAATACACTGTGCAAGACATATTTAAACTGGTTATTGATATTCTGACTTTTTTCTCAGAGTTATAATTTAGTGTCAATTTATGTCAGAATCCAAATAAATAACCAAACATTCTGGGCTCTATTACTATTATGTTGTAAACATTCACTTCCTTGTTATAAGATTTTCAAGCCTGCGTTTCATCCCCACTGAACGCCGGTCCCAAATTTATTTGGTAGATTTGAGTTTTAAGACTAGAGTTGCCTGTTGCAGCAAAAACCATTTAAACAATTGTGATTGAGCGAATAAAGTCAGAATTCAGAGGAAAAATCTAAACGTTAAGAAAAAAAGACAAAATTCTGAGGAAAAAGTTTGAATTCTGATTTTAAAATGTCAGAATTCTGATCAAAGTTAAAATTCTGAGAAAAAAGTTAAAATTCTAAGTCAATTCTGAGATTTAAAAAAAGGTGGAGATTTTGAGGGAAAAGTTTGAATTCTGATTTACAAATAAATAGTCAAAATTCTAAGAAAATTGTCAAAATTTAGAATAAAAAAATCTAAGAAAAAGTCAAATTTCAGAGATTAAATCCAGAATTGAGGCTGTTTTCCCTCAGTGTTCCTCCTCCCCTCCCGTAGTTTAGTGATGTATTCTGACGGCGTTGGTCCTTCCAGGGTACGGCATCATGACGGACGGCTTCACGACGTTCATCAACGCGTCGACGTGCACCGTCAGCTTCCAGCCCACCAACCCCCCCATCGTGTTCGACCTGCCCAACCCCTCCAGCTCCTGAGGCCGCCGCCATCGAACGCCGCCGTCAGGAGGAACGACTTTTCTACGAAAAAAAAAAAAAGATTCAACTGTTTCTTTGCAAGTTTTTTTTTTTTTTTTTTTTTTTTGCTTTTGGAGAAAAAAGCGACGGGAAAACTCGGCGCTAAAGGAGAATATCGGTGTTTTTCTGTTTGTTTTATTCTTATTCTGTGCCAACAGTCCAGGCTTTTTGCCTGGCATCACTCCATCATATTTGATTGTTGAAGAAGGCGAACGAGTCCTTTAAAAAAAAAAAAAAGAAACATGGTTTTACTGGAGAACGACGAAACATTGAAGTTGTTTTTGTCATCTTTAAACCAGCAGAACGTTTTGGGTTCGTCCCACCGGTATTCTCCTTTTTCTATGAGATTTTGTGGTTAAACAATCTTGCTCTTGATAAATATTGGTCAGAACTGTAAAATAAATGACGCTTTGTGAATTTGTACAATTTCTTTACGGTTTGGTTCGGCCAGACGACGGATGCCATTGTTTTTTATTTTACATTGTGTCATACGATAAATATTCAGTTTCTGTTTTGCTTTCTCGTCAGTTCTTTCTCTCCTCCTATTGGCTGACAGGGACGCTGCCTTAAACTAGCTTTAATGTTCTTATTTATTACCCATCATGCCCCGCTGAACAACACCTGACGATCGGCGGGACGAAAAGCTACGAAAACAGCCACAATATTCACTTTTTATCAAGGATTCCTCATCTGATTTGGAAAATGTATAATATCATATATATAAATTATATATTCATCTTTTAAAACATCTGTACTAAAGTTGTGTTTTGAAGAAGAAAAAAAAGTTTTTCTGTATCTTCAGTGCTTGCATCATTTCTCCATGTTTTTGTAGAAACGGTCACAATCCAACAGGTGTTTTCCCTGAAACACGCCTGCCTAAACATGGATAACAAAGTGTAAAATCTGATAGTTTTTGTGTTTTATTGCTTTTTTTTTCTAATTTTGCACTGTGTGTAAATGCAATCTTGCTAGCACAAAAAATGTTTTGCCAATAGTCGTCTGAACTCAGCTGTAAATGCTCTTTTTCGTGCTCTCTCCCTCTCGCTGTTTCTCTGATTGTATCGCCATGGAAACGTTAGTTCTCTTTCAGTTTATTGTGATATTTAGCTGCCTTTATATGCAAATAAAATTGCAAGATTTTTACTTAAAGTTTTTTTTGAATAAGTGAAGATATCCGTCCAACTGTTTATCCAACCAGCCATATATATATATATATATATATATATATAACAGTGTTGTGTTCAAGACCACCTAACCCGAGACCA